TGCATGATTTTCCATGAAATATTAATGTGAAAAATACATTATTATTAAAAACTTGTGGTTGTCTATTTGATTAATGACCCATCGAACCATGGAAGGAAAGAAGATGTTTTGTAACTGTAGTTATCAAACATTAAAATAGCAAGAACAAAATAGCAATGTGACAATAAATATCAGCATGATATACCTAAATTATTTAGGACACAAATAGGACTTTTTCTCCTAGGAATGTGTGTGCCGAGACCTAGTAACAAGGAAGAACAGATCTGCTTTATCCTAAACATCTTTGTAAATTATTTATTTTAAAAGATTGTATTTATTTATTTGACAGAGAGAGAGAGAGAGATCACAAGCAGGCAGAGAGGCAGGCAGGGAGAGAGAGGAGGAAGCAGGTTCCCCACCGAGCAGAGAGCCCGATGCGGGGCTCGATCTCAGGACCCTGAGATCATGACCTGAGCCAAAGGCAGAGGCTTTAACCCACTGAGCCACCCAGGCGCCCCTAAATTTTTTATTTATTGCAAAAAGCCCTTTCATTAATATGAGGACAGTTAAACATAACTCCATCTCACCAAGGAAATCTGCCATCTGAGGCCTTCTGTGATTTCTCTCAACAGACTTTCCAGCTTTGTGTTTTACTGTCTACTTGAGCCACCCTGTCTTTCGTCCTCATCTCATTTTTCCCAGCATTTCCTGCCTCTGCCTCCACTTCCTTCCCACTCACTTGCCCTGTTCTCCAAAATGTTAAATGATTCAGATGGTCTTTACTTTTTGAGCTTGCCACTTGAGTGTATGTGTTTTACGCTTTGTGAAGGGGGAGACGGATAGCTCTACACAGCTTGTATGACAGCAAACCCTTGAGACCAAAGGTCCTTTCACAGCGGAGGCTGCAATGAACTCACTCCGGGTTGTCCAGACAAGTCCTCACAGGGTGTGGCCTGTCGAGAAAGTCCTTGTTCTTCCGTATTGAAATGCCACCAACAGAAAAAACATCCTGAGATCTTCCTGCCCTTTTGGGCACTTGAGCTGTGTGAGCTTTAACTCAAAGCTCTGTCAGCTAGGCTCTATTTCTTCTTGAGACAGCACAAGGACTAGAGGAAGGATGTGACACCCTCAGCCCTTGAGATAAATGTCCTTGGGAATCATACCTTGCGAAGGAATGCGCACAGCTTCCAGTCTCTGTACAGTTAGCAGAACTGAAAAGTAACAGGGTGTTTATTTCAGGGGCTTTACTCTTCACATTGGCTGGGTGCCAGCATCTTAACAAAGGTGACATATCCTTAGCAAGGGCAGAGAACACAAGGTGAAGCTCTGACCCAAAGTGAATGTTGTGGGTAAAAGGTACATTCCATCATTTGAAAGTCGGTTGAATGAACCAGGGATTTGGTTAAACATAGTCATTCGCCCTGCCTTGGGTCATCTGTTTTTATGCTCTTCTTTGCTCCTTATTTCCTTTCATACATCTCCATCTCTTTTTAAAAAGACTTTATTTATTTATTTATTTATTTGAGAGAGAGTGCACGCATACACGAGTGGGGACGGGGCAGAGGGAGAGGGTGTTCTTTTGCTGTAATTTTGAATCTTGTATTTAACCTGAAAAGCCATTGACACCTATGTGCTAGTGCCCAACATGGACCCAAGAGATATGAGATTATTACCTCATGCACACATGGGCTTGCACACACATACACACACTTTTTATTATGAGAATGTTCAGATCTGCAGAGAAGGGAGATTTTGAAATGCATGCCCACCTCCGAACCACCTGGAAGGAACAATTGTTAACCTTTTCTCATAAAATAAGTGTGACTAGTTATATGGGTATTTGCTTCAGCTCTCTCCCTCCCCCCAAAAAAGTATTTGCCAATATTACCATGGTTCTGTGATTGTACCTATAGAGTCAGCAGTCATCACCTATTCTCATCCAGCAGCCTCCTCATATCCAAGTTTCTCCAGTTGTGCCAGAATTGTGAGTGACTGTTCATTAGTAGTGAAGCCATTATCGGAAGCTCAGAGATCTGAGAACTGGAACTTATATCAACTGTCCCTCAGTTGATATAAGGCAGGACTATAGATTGGTAGCAGAAGAGAACTTAAGCCAGCAAAATGTATAGTAATTAATGATTCATTTGGAAACACTCCCCTCCTCAAGCTATACTGATCTCCGGAGAACACTGGGCCATCAACCGGAATCGACTTGAGCCTCCAACTTGGTCATCTTGGGGCTCTGACTCTACCAGAGCCCCTGTCTCTAGTACAGAGGGGAAATGCCATTGGGAGAGGCCTTCTGACATCCCTGTCGACGGACCGTCATTTATTCCAACGCTATTCACTGAGTAGTCCATCCTTTCCTCCATACCTTGAATTAACACCACAGAGCTGTAAAAATAATGAAAGAAAGTACATGAACATATTTTTATCATCTTAGGGAGGAGAAGCCTTTTCAAAGCAAGGCATGAAACATTTGACTACATAAATATTTGAACCATCTTGATGGCAAAAGACAAAGTTAAAAAGTAAATGACAAGCTCAGACAAAACATTTACAACATAGAGTTAAAAATAAGAGTTCCTGCATATGCTAATAGTGCCTACAAATCAGCAAGAAAAACATTTTAAAGTGGGCAAAGGATATAAACAGACAATTTAAAGATGAAGAAATAGGAATGACTCACCATATGGAAAGGCGATTAAAGAAATGAAAATTAACACAAAAATGAGCTACCTTGTTATTCACCTTCTGTTTGGCACAAATTACGAAGATTGGTAATATTTCATGTTGGTGAACATACGGGAGAAAAGGACTCTTACCCACTGTTAGCAAGCATACAAATTGGTACAGCCTTTGTAAGGGCAATTTGGCATATATGATTATTCTTCCAAATTTGTTTCCTCGCTAAGGTAAAAGCTACTCAGGCAGTCTGCCTCTGTTCCGTAGTTCATTTCCTATTTTTGTGTCTGCTTTCTCCTAGATGGTGATATTCGTCCTTCTCAGCTCAGCCCGGTGGCCTGACCTTAACTCCTGAGTTCCATGGTCATGTCGCAACTGCAAGTCAATCTCATACAAACTTTGAGTTGACCTAGTGTGTACCTTTGAGAGTTTTGGAACAATATGCAGGTTCAAGTCACCATCATGTCATCTTGCTGATGATCTCATGGGACAAGACCAACACTGGGGTTGCTTGCTTCTGCCCTTGGTCTTCTGCCTGTCTTTCCCTCTACGGCCATTGATCACACACACACGTGTTGTCATCCAAAAGCTGTTTTGCTTTTCTTATTTGTCTTGTGAGTGTTGTCCTTGGCTTCGTATATGTCACAGGTTAGTGTCATGTCCTGCTCAGTGATCTAAAAACTTTCAATACTTGTAAATTTGTGTAATTTGGTTAAGAATGGCATTCAAGCAGCAAAGCAAGAATACAGATGATAGAAATGCAAGCAGAGCAACGAGGGCAAGAAGAGTGCTATCAAGAAGAGTGCAAACAAAACGAAAGTTGAAATGCTTGATAACGGTGAAACCAAGACCTCTGTAGGGCATTTTGGGGGTATTAATACATCTCTAATTTGCACAGTAAAGAAAAATGAGGAAGCTATTAGGGCCAGTGTATGGAGGGGCACACCAGACTCATTGAGGAAAATCATACATAGCTTGAAATGTCAAAACAGAGACAATGGAAAAAGTTGGGCATGGCTGGCTTCTAACACAGAGAGAGCAGAATGGGGCCTCCTCCTGTAGGCGTCATTGGCTAGTGAGCGTCACAAAGATGCTCGTTTAAATTTCGATCTGGACAAAACACTGTAGCATTCATGGTGAGTAATGGGTAGGTTGGATAGGTTCGAGAAGCGCCATGGTCTGTGTGACAAGAAATGGCTGGCAGAGGAAGCCAGTCATGAAGCTGCCTAAGTACTGAAAGAAACCGACTGAGGAAAATGGCCGCGTCTTCAGTGCCCATGAGCTGGCCCCGTGCCAGAAGTGCGTGCCTACGTGCACATCCATTGCAAAAGATGAGGGAAAGACCAGAGGCTTCCAGCCTGAAGAAAACAGCTTAAAGTTCTGTTTTGTTTCAGTGTTTCTGTTGACTCTCTGATTAAATCCGTGTTGCTTCACAGATTCCAAAAGTCCTGCCCTCTTCAAAGAGAATGCTAAACACACTTTCCTGTTCACACGGAAGGAAACCATAGAATATGGGTCACTAAGAACTCTTTGTTGGACTGGTTTTTGAAGCGCTTTGTTCCCGAGGTTAAACAATATTTAAACTGAGAAAACCATGAACTCAAAGTATTGCTGATTCCAGACACCATTTCCACTGACAAAAGCATGATAGTAAATGCTGATCCTCATGTTCCAGTCCTTTCCACACCCCCCAGTATGACTCCACTCCTTCACCCAGTGCCTCCGGGAGTGCTAAAAACTGTTCAGCATGTACTGTACTTGGTGTCTATTTGATTACCTCGCAGACCTGATGACAGGGTCCCGAGAACTTACTGTGAAAAGAGCTGGGCAAAACTTCTCCATTCGTAATGCTTTAACGATAGTAGAAAAACCAGTGGGAGAACTAACACGATCACCCCCTAAGGGAACCTGGCGGAAACTTAAGAAGGAAGTTGTCATGGACTCTGGAAGTTTTCTTCCAGTGGTAGAAGAAATCGAAAATGCATCCGGGAAACATTTGGGGGGTTGAGGATTTGGAGACCTCGAATGAAGTGACATTTTGCTGAACTGTTGGATTCTCACCCTCAGAAGACAGTTGAGAAATTTTTCAGAGATGTGATCATATCAAAAATTGATAAAAGAGGTCAGCGTAGGTTAACATCCAGAACTCGAAGAATGCTGAAGCAGCCACTCTGCAAATCCAATGGCTGTAATGGTTCGGAGGAAAGACATCTTTCGACAGAGTATTTATTGACCTACAGGCATGATTTAAATGATTACCCACAACCCTATAAAGCAATAATAAGAAAGCTTCAAATGAAAGCCAGTAAGTCTTTTCTCTCTGTTTGCTTCAACAGGGGAGAAGAGGCTGGACCTTCGGTCCTTGTCATTCAAACCCGTTCCACAAGCAGGCAGAAAGGCCACACACTGAGAGTCGAGCCTTGGGATGCAGACTCCGACAGCTCTGATGACGTGCTGATCCATGTGCCAGAAGAGGAAAGCAGCACAGAAGAGCTTATCTCCAGACAAAACCCAAGTGTCTTGCTTCTTTCCCCATATCTGCTGTGATGACCGGCACTTGTATTGACGCATGCTTGTGTTCACCTTGAGATCAGAGAGAAATAGAAATTAATTGCCCACTAATCATGATTGCTGATGCAAAATTAGGAAAATACCAACAAGCTTCAGTTTACTTCGTGTTTTATTTGAGTGAACAAACCAATGGTCTGGGCTGTCCTAATACTCCCTTCCCTGCCCCCAGTTTTCCCCAAAAGCTCATGACTCCTTCCAACAGAAATTCCTCTACAGCGAGGGTTTCAGGAACTCAACTCTCATACCCAGGGAGGGCAGTTACTCTACTTCGTTGCACAATCTGATTTTGTACTCTCGATCCTGATATTTATTTTAATTCTGTTTAAGCCTTACTTGCTCTTTCAGCAGAAAGAATCCAGACCCTTGCCCTTTACCTGGTTTGGTATCAGTGAACTTGCTTTGCAGCGGTTGTATGAGGTAGCTATGGGTCAGTCTCGAAGGGCAGTGCAATGACAATGGACTCCTGCATTTACTCTGGCATCTAATCGAGGAGTAGAAGTTGCTAGAGTTCATTTCCATTGATCTCTGTTCTCATATCTGGTCTTCCCAGGAATCTGAACATCTGGATATCCTCCGGGAAAGGGGTTCTGACTGAAACTTCTTCTTCCCTGAGGGTAGTGGAAATCCAATAATTCCCCCCCACCCCCGGCCTGGAGGTCTGAATGATAGCCTAGCTATACTTGAGTTTGAAGTGAGCAGAGGAAAGGGGGAAAAAATACAAAAGTTAAAAGGGCTTGCTCGCATAGTTACAGTTGAGATGACAGATATTCCTCAATAGGTTCAAAAGAGGCAGATGAGACTTGAAAACTCGTTTTCAGGTGCTGTGGTTCTAGAGACCCCCACCCCCCACAGTGCCAGAGAAGCCTACACGCCTGCTCTAAGCCATAGCAGTTCTCAGCGCATCCAGATCATGTTAGGGAGCTTTGAAAAATACAGAGTTCTGGGACCTGCCCCTAGATGTGCTGAATCAGGGATGGGGTCAGCATCTGTAAATTTTGAAAGCTCCTCAACTGTTTTTTTTATACAGCCATGGCTGCTAACTGCTGCTCTAAGTCTAAACAGAATTGTAATAGAAAATACAATGCAAATGGTGGTGGGCCCAGGATCTAGGGAAACTTTATTCCAAATTTTGGCTTTACCACTAGCTCAATGGATGGTCTTATTCAAACCACCCTACTCTTTCCTTACCCATCAAATGAGAGATTAGGACCACTTGGTCTCCAAGGTCCCTCTATCTCTGACATTGTTACTTTGAGAGAAAGCTTCTTCAATTTTCTTGATTGACTTTGAGTGTACCTAAGCCCTTTCATAGAGACCAAGGTAAGTAGTAGTGTTGCTGCACTGTGTTCTTGATGTTTTAAAAATGGTGGCTTCTGGTTCAAGTTTGACCATGGTTTAGTCCCTTCCAGAAAAGAGAGTTAGGCATAGAAAACAAAGAACAAACATAACATCAATTTCCTGAAAGGAAAGACAGAGGGGACCTCCTATGAGTTTATTTGTAGTAATTGTTCTTTTTCTTCTGAGTTACAGGGCTTGGGGAAAATAATAGATATTATGAGGAAAACACCTTAACATGTTGTATCTATTGTTTTCATAAACCAAAGCAGAGAGAATTCTGTGTCAGGGTTGCTGTTCCAAGGTTCCATGGATAATTGGTGTATTCTTAATCATACCTAGAGGTAAATAGTTTTAAGTCAATGATTATTTTACCAGTTTAATCAATGGTTCCATATGCCTTTAGAGAATGTAGTTTCCTGATAAATTTTACCATTCATTGAGATTACTGCCTTGGAATTTTTTCTCTTAATTTGACTAGAATTAGAGAAATCAAATTTAAGTTGGAGAGCATCACCTGGGAACCATTAATATAAAATAATACAATGGGAAACTGACTACTGTATGGATTTAGTTGTCATAGGGATGCCTAGACTTTGACTTGATAGATGCAAACTTTTGTTTAGGGACCAGGCCATTTGAAATACATTACTGAGATAAATTTAATTCTTGTTTAAGGTAATACCCAGTTAAAATAATCTAAGAAGTATCATTGATGAGGCTAAAAGCCAGAACATTTCAACATGGCTGAATTTAACAAGTCAGCAGAACTTACAGGTGAATTTGAAAGTTGGTATGGGCAAAGTGGTAGAAATAGAAGTGCATGTAACTGGGTGTTTCTTTTTTTCCTTTTTCAAATTAAGAATAGTCCCCAAAATTGACAAGCTGAAATTTCTTTTAGAAGATTTTATACACAATTTGGGTGGAATCAAATGGTTCAGGTAAATTCTTGGGTTCAGTGTTACAAAGTGCCTAGCAGTTTTCTTCTTTACATACTTAATCACTGGCAAAAAGAAAAGAATGGAAAAGGAGGTGGGGAGAAAGAGCAGCCCAAGTTGCTGAACTTTGTAGAGAATATTAAAAAAACGGTTTTACATTTAAAAAGAACCTTTTGTTTGTTTAAGATCTTTTAAGTTCAAAATGCAGAGGAGGTTCTGCACACATTTGCAAATGCACACATTTGGATTTCAGAGCTGCTGCCACCTGAATGCTAATAAAGGGCTTCGAGTGTGTGTAATCTAAAGGGGTGTGTGAACCATGTTTGTGCTATGGAATAATTGATCACTGAACTTTACATAGAGTTACCTTTTAATGGTCTTGATGTCAGTGCTCTATGCTTGTTTAAGAATCCAGAAATAAACTGTGGTATGAGCAGAGTATATATGTTCTTGGGAGCCATAACATCAAATAAAGGCAAACAGTACATTTCATTAACATGAACAATGAATGTTGAGGAGTTAAATATGAATCTAGTTGTGCTTGAGACATCGCACTTCCTCTTACATTACTATGTAAAGCCAGTGATACAATTAACCTATTTTTGCAAACACCCAGAGTTGGCTCTTGGTCAGTTGGCAGTGGTGTGATGAGGGCCATACTGAGAAGAACATGGGACTTAGGTAAGGGGGGCTTTGCCAATGGCTTCTTGTCTGCCCTGGGCGGGGGGGACTCCCTCTCTTTGGATGAGTGGTGCTTAGTCCTGGCACCATAACTCTTGGGCTATCGGGATGTGACAAGTCAGCCCAGAGCCTAGGCTGTGGAGTCAGACCTGCCTTCAATCTTGTCCCTGCCAGCTACCAGCTGTGTGATAGTGGGCATGCTTCTTAACCATTTCAGACTTGAGTTTCTAATCTGTAAAATGGGGTCAAAATACCTGCGTTGTTAGATTGCTATGAGATTACAAGAAATGCTTAATACAGTGCCTGGCACATAGCAAGCGCTCAATAAATTGTTGCTATTAGATATTATTATGATTATCATCACCATTATTGTTATTGTTATAAGCATTATAGAGCTAAATATGATAGTTTACTCCTGTCTTTGCAAAATTTTAATGTTTTGGTATTTTATCTAATACCTCTCAAAAATGGTATGCATGATGGTTTTAAGAAGAGAGAAGGAATAAAAATTGATTTTCAGTATTTTTCTTGCTTGTGAAAGAAACCTGAAACAGTAGTTCCTTTGTCCCTGTGTTACTCTTTGACTTGCAGTTTCATTTATATCACTTATTTAGAATGTAGTTATCATTGCATGATATTTATTTATATAGTGGTTACTTTTAATGACTTTTTTCACATAGTTGTATTCCTATTCTCTAGAAAATAATCCATCCACTTGGGTCCACTTTTGAGATAATGAAGTCACTCTGTGTTAATAGTAGCTAAAGATAAAACTATGCAGAACCTACTTTGCTTAAACCACCGAGTTATTAGCTTAGCTGCTTTTGAGAGAAAATTGGATATCCACGTCATGTTACTTGGTGAGGACAATTCCTCCTAACTAGCATCTGAACATCTTGGTTATTTCATGTATTCTGATAGCATTCAGGAAGTTTAAAGTCATTCTTTTCATAATGATGAGTATTCATCAGAATCCCAGTGCTGGATCTGTTGAGCAACAGAGCTGTCACTGCCTTATTTCCAGGCCCCGTTACCGCTTCACCTGGATTATCATGGTGGCCTCCTGACTCATATCCCAACCCTTTTACTGTCTTAACTGGGAGTCTTTGATGCCCTAGTGTATATAGCCTCAGTGACAGCCCATTGTCTGTGTATTCCACTACTTCACCTTTAAATCACCACCCAGACCCAGGGTACTGGAGCTGGGTTTGTCTGTCCATGTTCTCTTTCATACAATATATGTGATAGTCTGTGTCTTCCTCAGCCCTATCTGACTAAGCACTAAGGATCTTCAGCCTGCCACTCAACCCTGATCTCCTAAGTTTGTCACTTAAGCTCTGGTGGCTATAAACAGAATTTAGACTTCTTACCTGAAGCCAGAGTGCCTGAGATGAGAATACAAAGCTGTAGTCCGCTTCCTTTTCTCCTCCATCATTACAAACAGAGTGGGCTCCTGATTACTTGGCAGTGGTATGAGGAGTGCCCTAATGAGAAGCCCATGCGAGGTAGAGTGAGGGCTTTGCTACTTCTTGTCTGCCCTGTGCTGGAGACTCCCTTTCTTTGGGTTGAGTGCTGCTTAGTCCTGGAAGGATAGTCCCAGTCTGTAAAAATGACTTTCTTCTTTAATTTTCTTTTTAAGCTTCCAGTCTACCAAATTAGGTTATCTGCCTGGAACCCTAGCCCCTCTTGCCTGGGGTCCTGGATGCTACCCATTTAATTTTGGCTCTGAAGACAAATATCCTTCTTAGGTCCCTGAAACAAGTAAGTGGAGATCTAAACTCCATTCTTAGGTTCTTGCTAGTCTCATGTCCTGAGCATTATCACATACATAGTATGTTTATGAACCATCAGGTTACAAAGTACTCTGTCCATTCTTTTGCATGTGAATGCTAGCCTGGAATGTACTTAATATACTTACTATACCCTAGATTTGGCATAAAGAGTTGGGCTTGGAAAACTAGGGCCCTTGATTAAAATCTGGTCCAACTTTTTTTTTAAATAAAATATTATTGCAAAGCAACCATAAACACTTGTTTTATGGCTACACTATAATGACAGAGTTGAGTAGTTGCAATAGAAACCACATGGCCTTTAAAAACTTAACTATTTGTAGAAAACATTTGCTGACTCCTATCTAAAGCCAAGTAGTTTCCAAACCTTGATATTGCTTATTCTTTGATAACTCATCATTTCCCTCCTGTCAAACAGTATGGACCTAGAAAGCTAGTTCACAGAGACCATGAAAATAGGTTGCAACCCATTCAAACTACCTGCTTTTACTTGAATTTCCTGCTTCCTCTTTGTTGCCTTCTTAAAATGTCCTTTCTCTGTGTTTTGATTGTTAGGGAAAGAGATGTCATAGTCATAAAGACTATTAGAGTAGCCTTCTGATAGTTCTTTAAATGTCATATCAGGTCCTAATGTGAAAGTCTTTCAACATTGCCAGTATCTGTCAACATGACCTTCTAACATCTCTAAGATTAGGACTTTCAGTTCTTTAGTGTCTCTGACATCAGGTTTTCTGAGCACCATAGCTTCCAACATCTCCAACTGCCAGATCTTCTAAATGTTACAACTAACCCATGTCTTCCATTCTCTGGCCTGAAGCATCTCCAATGTGGGTTTTCTAATCTCCTCAATATCAGGGAAATTAAAAGTCTAGGTCCTCTGCTTTCTCCAACAGTCTTCAAGATCCAGGTCTTGTCTTTCTGGGTCCAGAGTTCTAAGTTCTGATTTTTCTATGTTTCCAATCTTCCAGTGTCTCCTATATACAGGTCTTCTAGAGTCCACGAGTTTCATTGTGTCCAAGTCCAGCTCTTCTAATATCTTCCAGTGCTTACATCATTCAGTCATACAACCTTCTGTGTCTCCTAAATTCTGGTTTTATAGTGTCTCATTATCACCAGTTCCACCATCCAAGTCTTTCAATATCTCCAAGAACCTGGTCTTCTAATGTTGAAGTGTTCCAACATCCCCAGTGTCTGAATGACTAGGTTTTTTAACATCCTGACATCTTATCCAAATCTCCTGTCTAGGGCTGCCAAAATCTGTGACTTCCAGCATCATGAAAATTACAGCTTCCAAATTCTATGTCTCAACAAGAATGTGTCAATACCCATGTTTTCCAAATGTCTCCTAATATCCAGGACTTCCAATTTTAGGGTCTCTAAATGTCTATATCTTCTATTGTCTATATCTTCCAATGTTTAGGGCCTCCAAGGTACAGGAATTATAATATCTCTAGTAGTCAGGGTTTCCCATACCCATGAATTCCAACGTTCAGGGTCTCCAAAGTCTCCAGTATCCAGAATAACCAATGTCCACAAAATCCAAGGATTCCAATGTCTCCAACATCCTGTGCTTCCAATGTCTCCAATGTCCAGGGTTTCCAATGGTGCCAGTGTCAAGGTCTTCCAACAACTCCAGGTCTTCCAGCAACTCCCAAGTCTTCCAACAAATTCCAAGTCTTCCAACAGCATCAAGGTCTTCCAGCTAATCCTAGTCTTCCAGAAAATTCACGTCTTCCAGATAATCCATGTCTTCCAGTAATTATAGGTCTTCCACAACATCTGTATCTTCCAGGAAAATCCACGTCTTCCAGAAAATCTATGTCTTCCAATGTTTTCAAGGTCTTCCAGACAATCCACGTCTTCCAGCAATTTCAAGGTCTTCCAGCCAATCCACGTCTTCCAGAAAAAACTATGTCTTCCACCAAATCCAAGTCTTCCAGCTAACTTATGTCTTCCAGAAAAATCCAGGTCTTCCAGTCAATTGATGTCTTCCAGAAAGAAATCCAGGTCTTCCACTCCGTCCACGTCTTCCAGAAAAATCTATGTCTTCCGTCAAATCCATATCTTCCGGAAAAATCCAGGTCTTCCAGTCAATCCATGTCTTCCACCAAATCCAGTCTTCCAGTCAGTCCGCGTCTTCCAGACAAAATTTATGTCTTCCACTAAATATATCCAGGTCTTCCAATAAAGCCACGTCTTCCAGAAAATTTATGTCTTCCACTAAATCCAGGTCTTCCAACAAATATATGTCTTCCTAGAGATCCACGTCTTCCGGAAAATCCATGTCTTCCAGTAACCTCCAGGTCTTCCAGCAAATCTACGTCTTCCACCAAAAAAATCCAGGTCTTCCGGACAATTCGGGTCTTCCTGAAAATCCACGTCTTCCAGAAAAAAAACATGTCTTCCAGGAAATCCATGTCTTCCAATGACCTCCAAGTCTTCCAGAAAATCCATGTCTTCCTGAAAATCCATGGCTTCCAGAATCCACGTCTTCCAGCAAATCCTTGTCTTCCAACAAAGCTGTGTGTCTTCCATCAAATTCATGTCTTCCAGCCTACCTACGTCTTCCAACAAATTTACGTCTTCCGGAAAATCCACGTCTTCCAGAACATCAACGTCTTCCAACTAAGCCACGTCTTCCCGAAAATCCTTGTCTTCCTACATTTCCAGGGCTTCCAGCATCTCCAGGGCTTCCAGCATCTGCTCGCCTTCCAGCATCTCTGCATCTTCTGGCATCTCTGCATCTTCCGGCATCTCTGCATCTTCCGGCATCTCTGCGTCTTCTGGCATCTCTGCATCTTCCGGCATCCCTGAATCTTCCAGCATCTCTGCATCTTCCAGCATCCCTGCGTCTTCCAGAATCTGCTCATCTTCCGGCATCTCCACGTCTTCCGACAACTACCCAGTCTTCCAACAGCGGGCTCAATATCCACGTCTTCCAACGTCTCCAGGATACCGGTCTTCTACATTCAGGTCTTCCAGCGTCTACGATATCCAGGTATTCTAACATGTTCCATAGTCCAGGTCTTCCTGACCATTCCCCAGGTCCAGACCCTTTTAAAAGGAGTCTTCCCAAGTCCGAGCCTTTCCATGTTCAGATTTTTCCACAGACAGGTCTTCCAACACAAATAATCCTGCTTCCAGTAGAATTAGCTTCAGAAAATTTAATAAGGCTTTCCTTCTTATAGACCAGATTCTATGGATCAACTGTATTGCAGCTTAATAGTGTTTTTTGCTACTAGGAAATGTGTATTTATTTACAGCTTTTTAAGATAGTGTTCATAAAACATCTTCTATAAAATAAACACATCGCTGGGATTACTGTGATGAATTTTGCTACTTTGCTAATGCTTATAGTTTTTATATAGTCAACTATGATTAGGTGCAAATGAAATCTTATTTTAATGAAAAAAACTCCTGTTTAGAGACTGTTTATTATTTTAGATAGAGTATGTTAATACAGTGTATTTGTCCATTTCTTATACTGCCAATTTTTGTTTGGTCTTATGAGACTGGTTAATAATAACAACAACAATAATAATAAGAACACTTAACATAGCATTTGCTATGTCCAGGCACTGTTCTAAGGTCTTATGTGCATCACCTCATTTAATCTTCACAAGAACCCATTGAGGTGTAGGTAATATTATCCCCGTTTTACAGATGATGAAACTAACACACAGAGGGGAAGTAATTTGTCCAAAGGACACAACTAATAAATGATAGAGCTGGCTAGCCTACTGAACCCAGCTAGCCTGTTGGCCAGAGTCCATGATCCTAACCACTGTGCTATAATATCTGCTGTTGAAAGTCAAGTTGAGAATTATGGGATCCAAAGCATGATTGCTCCTATTTTATGTGCAAACTATTATCAGATCTTTTTTATAAATGGTCTTGCTTCATCCTCTCACTATCAGAACCTATTTGTATTCACAGATCTCATTCCTCAACTAGCTACTATTATTTCCTTGCCATATATATGGAACTAGACACAAATACTTCCTAATACCATTTGGGCAGAAATAATATAATATAAGGAAGAAATAATTAAGGAAGCACTGAGTTCAAGTACCATTTGCTTTAGAATCATATTCACAGCTCCATGCTCTGAGTACTGATGCTTGGAATTTGACTCTCCCATCTACTTTCATCCCTTATCACTGACCATTCTCAACTTTGCACCTTATTATCTAGACCATTTACCATTAGTTTGTTTCTGACCTCTAGGATTCACCTGTTTCTTCAAATATCACTGACCTCCTAGATTCCTGACCACTGCTTTGCATTCAGCTAATGGTAACTACAACTCCCTGACTCTCAGCTTGCTGACCTGGAGAACTAACTACTTGGTTTTCCCAAATCTCAGCTCCTACCAGGTGCTTCCAGTAACATGGCTACCATGCCTCTGGCTGGCTTGACAAACATTAAAGCTACATAATGAAATTATGGTTAGACAAGGAATCTCTAAAGATTTGGAATCATCTACATAGTAATACAAATGAATCATAATAATAATTATTATTAAAATTGAAATACCTTCCAAATATCTGGTCCCTTATTTTGCAAAGTGCTGTCATTTCATCCATCATTTATCTACTCATTCATTCATTAATTCATTCAACAAATATTTATTGAGCACCAGCTGTGGGCCAGGCATATTTCAAAGGAGCTTAAGATCACCTAGGGAACTGACAGTGTACAAATAATTGAACAATTATTTATCAGTTGCTGCAAGAGCATGTTTCCTTCACTTTCATCTAGAAAGTGAAGGAAAGCATTCCTGAGGAAGTAACATTTATGGTGAGTGAAGGATTTACTTTCTTTATTTGATTATTAAGATGGATGTTTTTATATCAGTTTTACCTAATCAGGTTAGACAGCAAGTACTAAAGATGGGCGTGAGATCCAGGTATCTTGACTTCTTTTTTTCCCCTATTACTCCATGCTGCCTTAAAATACATAGTAAGGATGGTTTGGGCACTATATATCAAGGGATATAAAAACGTTGGTACTCTTTAACTTAGTATTTTCACTTCCATGAATATGTTCAAGGAAATCATCTAAAATGTGGATAATTCATGCACAAAGATGTTCCTCACATAGTTATTTGGTATAGTGAAAAACAGAAAAACCTAGGGGTCTAACTTTATGGGCATGATTAAGTAAATGTGCCATTTCCATGTGCTGGAATATTCTTTCATTAAAATATTTATGGTATGTTGATATTATGTAATGTTAAGTGAAAAATCAGCATACAAGATTATATAAAGTGTGATTGCAATTATCTTAAATATATATAATCAGAGTCAAATGACTAGAAATAAACACATTAGAGATTGTGAACTAATTATCTCTAGGTGGGTAAGATTATGTGTGATTTTTGTTTACTTCTTGGTGTTCCCTTTTTTTCTTCCAAAGTTCTTACAGTGTGAAAGTATATTCAGGAAAAATTTAAATGATTGTGCATAGAAAGCTCATTATTTATTCATCTTATTACACATGTATTCAAGTTTTACTGTTGAAAATACTTCAAAATAAAAGCAAGCAAAGTGAAAAAGTTAAAAATCTCAAATAAACTCATTACTTAGAGATAATTGCTATAAAGTTTTTGGTGTATGTGTTTCCACCCTCCTTCAGAGGCATGTTTATTCTCTTTTACAAAATGAAATCATACTGCCATTTAACCCATTATTTCCACTTAACAATAAATTGTAAACATCTTTCCATGTCAGTAGCTGTGAGTCTACATTCTGATTTTAATACAGAACTTACTTATTTCCTTTAGTAGACATAGGGTTCTTTCTGGGTTTTTCTTTTTTTTGTCTTCTAAAAATTGCTGTGATGAGCACATACACTACACAAGTTGTGCAGAGCACAAACCATGTCATCTGTTCCATCCTGGCCATGACTGGGTGCAAATTTGGTCAGCTATTACTTAGGAGAAGCTCTTAAAGGAGAGTTGCTGAGTCAAGGGATATGTACATCGTAATGCTTATCAGAGCAAAAACAAAAATTATAAGCAATCCAGACATCCAACAATTGGGGAAGGTTAAATAAAACTTTGTGGTAACTGTATGATGGACTACTATGCAGCCATTTAAGTTTACACCACAGAAGAATGTTTACCGAAATGGGACTATGTTCACAAGATCTCAGTAGGGGGAGGAAAAGGTCACATGAAAGTATGTATAATATTCAAATTTTTAGAAAGGAAACTGTATAAATGTCCTCAGAAAAATGACCAGAAGAGTGACACTAACATGTTAGTAGTAAAAATCTGAAAAGGAAAATGACTAAATTGTGGTTGATTTACACACTGTAACGTTATACAGCCATGAAATGAATGTGACCTACTGCTAGACATAATCTGGGTAAATTGTATTTCTATAATGTTAATTAAGGTATCAAGTCCCAGAAGACTACATATAATAGGATATCATTTCTATATTATTCAAAAACAAGTAAAGCTAAATGTTGTATTATTTAGGTGTACATATATATTTGGGATTAAAATATTTTATTAAAAAGCAAAGGAGAATAAAAAATTCAGGATAATGGTCACTGGGGCTTAGGAAAGGGGCTTGGAATAGGAGAGGATCAGGCAAGTGAATAGAAGTTATTGTCTGTATTCTAGTGCTCAGGTTCAGTGGGTGGGTGGGCGTTCATTATATAAGTTAAAGCATGTCATTGGCTATTTAATAATTGTGTAAGTATTATGAAAATTAACAAAAATAATTTAATAGATAAAAATAAAAGCGGGCCACATATAGATCAGTGAGACAGTGTGCGTGATCTATGACAGTGTGTGTGGATTACTCGCAATATAATTCATAGCACTCAAATTTCATATTTTCTTACATAGTTATCTTTGGGTAGTTGGAGTGCATGGGCTTTTTATTCCCTTGTGGCTCTTTGTTCTCTAAATTTTCTATAAAATAGAAAATACAATATTATAATTGAAAAACAGGCCCTAAATTACATAGAGTAAGATCTCAAATACATTAAACATGCATAACAGGGACTGAAAAGGTATTGACATGTTGTTAACAATTGCCTTTGTGTAGTGAGATTTCATATCATTTTTATACTTTCTTATACTTGTTTTTTAATCCAAATATTATGCAGTAAGCTTACTTTTTGTTGTTATAAAAGTAGTATATGCTTATTATAAAAGTAACAGGTGCAGCAGTATATAAAGTAACAAGTGAAAGTATCCCTCTCCCAGTCCCACTGTCCAGAGACAGCCATGATTGTTTGCTTTGTATCTTCCAAGTTCTCTCTCTCTCTTTTTAAAAATATTTTATTTATTTATTTGACAGATAGAGAGATCACAAGTAGTCAGAGAGGCAGGCAGAGAGAGAGGGGGAAGCAGGCTCCCTGCCCAGCAGAGAGCCCGATGCGGGGCTCGATCCCAGAACCCTGAGATCATGACCTGAGCCAAAGGCAGAGGTTTAACCCACTGAGCCACCCAGGTGCCCCCCAAGTTCTTTTTCTATGTGCATGTGTCCTTGGTGTGTTTTACAAAATGAAACCATCCTATACATAGTATTCTATAACCTGCCCTCCTCACCCCCTGCTCAATAGAAAGTCATTGTAGCAGCTGGTAAAATGCCATAGTAAGGTGGACTATATAATTTACCCAACTCTTTCCACATGATAAATCTTTTAGATTGTTAACAGTGTGTTTGCTATTACAGATAATGCTACAAAAAGCGTTCTTTTTCATCTATCTTTTGCTCATTGCGAAGTATTTTTATAGGCTGGTACTATAGAGTATAATGGCTAGATCAAAGTGTTTGAGCTACATTGCCCCCCACCCCCAGCATGCTGGAAATGATCATTCTTTTTAATTTGTCAGCATTTTGGATGAAAAATCCAAT